TGCCGGGTGGGCTGACAAGATTCACGGCCAAACTATCGAGGTAGAACTACTCTGCCGTTGGCGAACGCCGTCACTGATTGACATCTTTCAACAAAGACCGGCGAAGCCAAACTAGCATATACTAGGCATGAACCCTACGGCGTCGTCGGCCAAATTATACCTTGGAATTATCCCCTGGTACGAACCATTACAATTTCCGAAGCTTGTTTTAACCTCAAAATTAATCAAGACGATGCTTTCATGGAAAATAGCGCCTGCTTTAGCCACTGGAAATGTAGTCGTACTGAAGGCTAGTCCCCAATGCTCTTTGCAGTCGCAAATGATACCTAACTTTAATCATTAGCCATCCGAAATTACACCTCTTACTGCCTTAAAGTTCGGCGAGTTAGTAAATGAAGCTGGTTTCCCCCCTGGTACGTGCTGGCGAAGAGACTGTTCCATTCAGCGTGCTGAGTCTTGACATTTATTCAGGTGTTGTGAACATCATTCCCGGATACGGCACGTAAATTTCCGCTCAAGTTCTTTTTTTGAGGCTGACCTTGCCGCTCTACATCAGGGCCAACTGCCGGCCATGCAATAGCAATGCATCCTCATATTCGGAAGATTGCATTCACCGGAAGCGCCATTACAGGTCGAAAGATTCAGGAAGCCTCAGCGAAATCCAACTTGAAAGTCGTTTCGCTTGAGCTAGGAGGCAAGAGTCCCAATATCATATTCGATGATGCCGATGTAGAACAAGCTGTCAAGTGGGCTGCTATTGCAATCTTGTCTGTTGCCTTTTTGAATCTGCCTACAAGTTATTGACCTCCAACTTTCACAGCTCCAATTCGGGTTCGCTATGAATTATCTACGCCATGGACTATTTGCTAAATTGACCTTCCAGGCCAAGTCTGCATCGCTGGATCGCGTATCTTTGTGCAAGAAGGGATATATGATACTTTTATGAAAGCTTTCAGTACTGCGGCGCAGGGCCTGAGCGCAAAAACAGGAGACCCATTCTCAGAAGGTACTGCACATGGACCAGTAGTGTCGCAAACCCAATTCGATGTACGAACTCGTTCTATAATCCTGGTCTAGCATGTCTTATTGGCTATCCAGCGCGTAATGCATTACATCGATTCCGCCAAAGCAGCAGGTGCCAAAGCATTCATTGGCGGCGACCGTCCGAGTCACACGACGTCCGAAGGGTTCTTTATCAACCCAACTATCTTTACAGAATGTACTCCCGATATGAAAATCCTCCAGGAAGAAGTGTTTGGTCCGGTAGCAGCGGTGGTTAAGTTCAAAACTGAAGAGGGTTAGTGAAGTCTTATCATGTGTGTCTCTCAAACGTCTGACAGGTCTATCCCAGAGGCCATCGAGATGGCTAATGACACTGAATACGGTCAGTCTTGATCTCTTGTAAACGATATCATCTGATGATAAAGACAGGCCTCGCTTCTGCTGTGTTTACTGAAAGTGTTAGTAGGGCGGTCAGAGTTTCAAACGCCTTGGAGGCTGGTATGGCCTTTGTGAGTCGTAGCTTCTCCTCTTGAAGTCGGATTTTACCCAACGTTTCCTAGGTCAACTGCAATGTTACCACAGAATACAACGTTCCATTCGGAGGTTACAAGCAATCTGGCTATGGTCGTGAGCTAGGTGCATACGCGATCGAAACGTGAGTGTCCTGGCTATTCAGCTGAGTCTCACTACTAACAACCCTCACAGATATACCCAAGTGAAAGCTGTCCACATTAACGTAGGGCTCAAGCTCTGATTTATCAAGTCTGTACCTGTGAATAAAGTGACTGTATGTACGTACGTATGTGAATATGCGAACAATTGTACCATAGCTCAAGGATAGTCTCGTTTCGTTATCAACTCACCGGTGTCAAGGGATCAAGAACAAGGACTTTGTATGGTGGCTGACTGTGAATTCGAGCTATGTATTTTACTTCCTAACGAGGCTTTCTACAAGATGGCGGCTAGCCAGGCTAGTGGGAACTGTATGTAGAAAAGACCTGAATGGATTTCCGTAGGGTAATAGCATCAGATCGTACAGTCTGGTCTGGATACTATTTCCTGCAAAGAACAGTTAAGCGCACTGTTCGACAGTATAGGCACGAAGAGACGTACTTTAAGGCCTCTTTTCTCGCCAATTCTTCCTGCATTGCTTCTTTCAATTTCTGCAGCTGAACGCCTTGTGCAGCGGTAGTTCGGGCTTGAAAATCATCGACAAAGTTGTCTAAGCGTTTAGCAACATTTTTGGCTCTGATTGGCCGTGAGGATAGCGGTTGGAGAATAATCGGCGGATGGAGAGCAGGATCCATTTTTGACGCTCACGAAATTTGGCGCTTCTTATACATGAACTTTGCGGCGGTCATTCATCACTCTTTTACTTTCGTGTTGAATGCCACCTGGTCCCGGATACAACTGGATCTGCGTTCTTTCCAGTGCTGCTGAAATTGTTGGTCATGCCGCCAGATATCGTGCTTCTCAGTTAACGCGTCTTCCAAGGGATGCTCGCCCTCTACAAAAAAATGAAGGTGTAACGTTGCAGGACAGCAGAAACGGTTCAAAGGAAACGGTAGAAGAAAGATGGGAAATAAAAGGGAGAAACAATCAGAAAGAAGCTGCGCCTTTGCCACCTTTTATGAGTTCCAGGACGATTGAAAAGAGCGATGAGGTGCACAAGGAAGAACCTTTCTCTAGATTTGCCTCCGCTGTACTCCCGGAAACATCTAGTCTGCCGCCTGCGTATCCGATGCTTTCCATTGAACAGCGACCAGAAGCGGTAGCAGAATCACCACCAGTAACCCTCACGGAACCATCGGTAGCTGATGCAGCGGAAGTAGCTGAACCCATTACCGTCATACTAGAGCCAGTTCCGATTCCTTCATTCAACAGAAATACCCTTCAATCTTCTAGGGTGCCGTCTTCAAAGCTGGGCAGGTTGTTTCATTACGGAGGTAGGCGTAAAGTCCACATCCTTCTGCTAGTACAAACCAGTCATTATTTAGGTTTAGCAGCATCCTTAGGATATGGTGCTGCCTCAGAGCTACTACGCCCAACCATCCCCTCCGCTTCTGATGGCTCCAATCGTTCAGTCATGCTGAGTGACGCAAACATCAGCCGTCTTGTGTCGAAGTTGTCGCAAATGAGAGGCGCAGCACTCAAACTGGGGCAATTCTTAAGCATCCAAGGTGCGTTGTATACCTATTTCGAACAATATTATCGCTCACGCACCTACAGACACCCATCTTCTCCCAACTGAGATAGACGCCGTTTTTCGACGCGTCCAAGACTCTGCGCATTACATGCCTGACTGGCAAATGGATGTACGTGCCAGACTACGTCGGGCTGTGGCGTGTGCTGACGCGTAATTCTCTTAGCAAGTCCTCACTTCGGCTCTTGGCTCGTCTTGGTCGCCAGAATACTTTGATCATTTCAACCGTATTCCATTCGCGGCAGCATCTATCGGGCAAGTACACGAAGGTGTGTTGAAGGCCGAATGGACTCCCACTGGTTTGTCCTTTTCTTCGCTCGTACGGATATCAAAATCCCTAAATTGTGCTTCAGGCAAACCGGAAAAAGTGGCCGTCAAGGTTCAGTTCCCCAATATCCGCGATTCCATCTCCGCAGATCTTTCCTATATCACTTGGCTGTTACGCGCGACCTTGGGGGGAAGATCCTACCAAGGGGTCTGTTCTTAGATAGAACTATGGAGGTTGGGATAGCTTTTATGTTGTTCAATCGTTACTAATTTCGCAGGTTATGAAATCGGAACTAGCAGACGAGTGCGATTATGTTCGAGAAGCACATTTTCTGCAACAATTTCGCTCTCCGGAATTCCTAGGTATGCACGAGCTGCTTTTCTGCCATGGGCCAAGCTGATAGCCATTAGGAACCGACTCTCGCTTCCACGTTCCTTGGGCCGCATCAATCTCCAGTGATAAAGTTCTTGTCATGGAATTCGTCGAGGGCGGTGTTAGTCTCGGGTCTGAGCTTGTTACGGCCCTGCCACAGGAGCAGAAAGACGAGGTTCGCCTGTTTTGGTTTGAATGCTGAGCCGTGGTTTTAATCTCCAGCCCTGCAGATTGCAGCGACAATTCTTCATCTATGTCTCCTCGAACTATTTCGTTTCGGAACGATGCAAACCGATCCCAACTATTCCAACTTTCTTTATGTCCCAGGTGTGCATTTTTATTGCTAAGCTTGCAATTTCACCAACGAATTTTGTATCCCTAGAATCAGGTAAAATTGCACTGATAGATTTTGGGGCCACGAGGGAATATGGTCCCCAATTTTTAGACGGATGGCGCAAGCTACTGGAAGCCGCTGCATCCCTAGACTTGGAAAACGTTACCGAAAACAATCAGAATCCTGCCTGGGAAGCCTGCGTCGAGGAAAGCATCTCATTAGGATACCTCATTGGAGGCCAGGGCGAAGGGGAAGATTTTGAGTCTCCTGAGATGGTTAAAGCTCATGTAACCAGCCTTGCTTTGCTGGCGTATCCATTCAACCCAAGAGCACCGCAACCAGTACGCTTCGGGAAAGGATCCGAGATCTGGCACAATACTGAAAAGATACGGGAACTTATACCGTTGATGTTGCGAGAAAGGAAGAAGGGACCACCGAAGGAGACATATAGTTTGAACCGAAAGCTGAGTGGTGCGTTTCTGTTGGCTTCAAGACTGGGAGCAACTGTGCATACCAGGAATATTTGGGAAGATGTATTGGGCGGAGGTCGGTAATCTCTTGGATGTGTAAAAGTATGTTAAGCTCTTGGCGTTGAATAAGTACCGCGATAAGGAATAAGAAATATACTGGGTACTCAAGTGGGCTGGCAACTATGTACGCTTTCTTGAATTCTGGCAACAATTTGAGCGGAGGAAGGCTACACCATTGTGAAGAAACACCTCGCTGTTTTCTGGCTTCTTCCAGAATGTTACCGAAATAACCCAATGACAACATATAAAAAAAACATATAAAAAAATACCATAAGTGAACTGTCCAAGCTAAGGTCTAGCCAGGACTCGAACCTAGGTTACGGGAAGTAATGTTTTTGGTCAAAATCCCGTGTGATAACCTCTACACTACTAAACCACAGTTTACGTTATGCAATTGACATCATTTCGAAAAGAAATTCCTACCTAGGGACGAAGTACATGACCGCCTCGATCTCACCACTGACCAAGGCCCAGAATGGCAAAATCAGGATCCAAACGTAAATCAAACTCAGCAACGTCGGCGAGCTCGGACCCACCGCCCTCTCCTTCCACAAAGCCCGAAGAGACCTCAAAAACACACAGAGGCCTTTTCGGGTGAATTCTTACGGGACCGTCAAGTCGAAGGACGCCTTTACTTATCTCAATTAACGTGCAAACTTCTTACGTGGTACTTTTGGCCAGAGCATACGAAACTCAGCGACATAAGCAGCATCGTACTTGCCTTCATCTGCGTGACAAGGGCATATTCAAAGTTCTCAGAGGCGGATGAAGGAACCAGTAAATACTTTCTGTTCATTCAGGTTATCGTGGTAGCTTCATGCTCGATGAATCTGCTTCTTGGAAACGTACCTGGTAAGCTGGGAGACTCTAGAGCTGCACTTGGTTCTCATCTCAGGCTTCTAGATGTCAGGGATAGCCTTTGGGCGCACACTTCCGACCTTCTGCTAGCTCTATTATCATTCACTCTGTTCTACGTTCTTTACGAATGGCTTTTCACGACATGTATCTGGGCTACCCGCAAACACCTGCTCAGCTCCGACGAGATCGAGGGAATTAAAAACATATCCCTCCCGAGACGATGGCTTTGTCGGACGTTGACTCCGCCAGAATTCAGTTTGGAGCAAAAACAGGAGCAGCAGTAGTCTGATTCCGAGAACAGAATAGTGGTCAGTTGGTTTTCCACCGTCCACCGTCCATCGTCCATTCGTTTTACCAAAAGCTTCGTAGCACTCTTCGAGGTCATGGCAATCCACACCGACGAATTCGGCTTTGTTGGAGCCGTATCCCCTTTTCATTCCGATTTCGAACTCTGTTCGGCCAACCTTCGCTCAGATACGCCTCCTTCTCTGTGTATATGCTCCCTAATGTGTTCTCCGCGCTCCCAAGGCACAAATGCGGCGCTTATTCCCCGTTTGTTAACGAGACTTAGTGCTGATTGGTGTGAAGATGACGGATAGAGAAGTGGTGACAATGGGAATAAGTATAGAGTTGACTCATAGGTACAATGTACTCCAAGGACGATGCTCTCTCAGTGATGGAGTTATCCCGAAGCTTTCACCGTCGTCGGCTCATGGCTGGCAACCTTGGACCTTGGAACTCACCTGGATTTTATCGCTTGATAGTGATTATGCACATATTTCCTTGACACTCATAGTTTGTGCCAGCACACAGTTTATCTAGAGAACGCGCTAGGCCGCTTCGGATTCTTTCAGGTTCGCCCAGTGTGACTAGAAAAAAAAAATCGATATTTCGTTCTCCTTCTAGCCTTATGATGCTCATCTTTCCACTTCACTTGGCAGTTTCTCTATTTTCACCTGCTTAAGTTTTCCAGATCCTTTTAGTAGCTGTTCAATTGAATTTTATCCTCCTCATTGCACTCAGGGCACCAAGGCCAATATGCACCTAGAACGACACCTGAGGGCTCCCCTTCCGCAAAATTTGGAACAGGGCCCTCACTGACTGATGCAAGGATCCGTTGCAATGACAAACGGTTTCTGTCAAGTGCCTTGTACCGGGTACTTCTCACTTCTGTGAGTGCCATGAACCGCGCTTAGTAGTTCAGGTACCTTGGCCACTGGCCCGTCGGATCTAAATGTAGAATCTTACAACTATCTCTGGTTGGGCATACGTGCTTTATTCTTATCGACGGGCCTGTAATGCGATACATCTATGTACATTAGTCATTCGACTGTCTTGGGAATAATGGCGAACAAAGGTATAATAATGTGGCGAACCTCAACTAAGCCACACAAAGCGTTACAGAGGAAAGGGAATTTCTGCGATGGTGATGACGGCGAGGATGAATTATGATACAATCGTCAAACAGGCTGTCTTCGGACTCCAAGCTCGCTTGCTTGAAAACATCCGTCCAAGGAGACTGAACATGATCTGGGACTGGCGCATTGTTCAAGCGATCATCGTTCTGCAAGATGAAATCGTACAGGACTGGATTTATCCTGGCAAGGGACCAAGAAATCAAAACGGAGAAGAAATACGGTGATGAGAAGACCCACTGGTTTGAAAAATCAGGTAATAAGTAGTGTGGGGCACCCCGAACCACATGCATTGATGCGTCTACTCCGGCTTCATCCAATCTTCGAAGGAATTCTCTTGAGTAGGATTGTGGATATGCCACATCTTCAGTACCATGGACGATTTTCACGGAGCCAGCGATTCGAGCCAAAGATGTCTTTGAAAAAGGTTCGCGACGAAGATGAAAATCGAGATTCATGATGCGAAATTGGTCCAAATGTTCGTAGCCCCACTTCTCCATAGCCACTGGGTATGTTATCTTCATCATACTATCAAAGCTATTAGACTATTGAACAAGTTTTCGAATGTAACACACTTACGCTGTAACAAGAGGGGAAACTTGATGTGTGCTGAACATGTACTGCGAGTTTCCAAAACCTGCTTCATATACAACATCCTCCAAAACAGTCGAGGCATCAGGAAAAGCCGAAGTCCAAAGCTCGCAGATTTCAAGGTGTCCATCGGCCACTTCAGGAGGCTAGATTTTTTTTGAGAAAATGCGTCCATTGATTCATCGAACAGGGAGATACTCACGATCTCAAGGCATAGATGAGATACAAGAAAAAGAGATAAAACTCGATCCGGGTACGTTACTGCAAGCTGAGTGGCAATTATAGTCCCTGTAGACATGCCGACAAGATGGCAAGCAGGAAGTTCCAATGCATCCTATATCGGAGAATTACATCGTTGAACGACTTGAAAATGTTAGGAGACTTACCATTAACCTTATTGTATCCTCTGCAGCTTCCACCTGTCCGTAATATGGGGGAACTTTGTCACCGGATGTATCACCATGGCCTCCTCTCAAATCGAAGGAAACGAGATTAGAGCATCGCAGTAGAGGGTCCGCGAATTGAGCTGAGTGCCACTCAGAATAAGGAGAGCTTACAAGACTAGATTGCTCACCGTGAAATACATGCTCGGCGATAGAGACAGGATGTATGAACAGCAGTGTGGGGAGGCTAGGGTCGATGGTCGTGGCCTCTGCGTCTGTAGGGGTACAAATCGTGTATTTAAACCTGGTGTTCCCGGTGCTAGATGTAACTTCAACGTGAGGCATATTTTCGATGCGCGAGGGAGCAGTGGAAGAAACAGATGGGAGTGGGTCAATTTCGGAATGTGGGTGGATGGTGACCCTCGAGGGTTGGAATTTAAAGCGCTTAGACACACCTTTCCCACCCACCGAACAACAAATAGATGAGTACGCCGGAAGAAGAGTTTACTCGGACATGATATCACCATCATAAGGTAGAACATTACGTCCAGCTATAACCTGAAATGCCCAGTAAGCTTTGCTTCATCCGCACGATCAACCATCTTCCATCGCTTCATGCAGCCTCAGTACTTCCGGCCGAACGAAGGACACCCCCTGCTATCTCGCGATTCAGCCACACCGTCTGTTCATATCATAGTATCGCAAGTGCACGCTCATAGCCATCAAGCGAATGTTTTCATTAATAATGAAAATATAACTTTTTCCAGAATATCCTGGACCTACAAAGCCTGTGAAATCATTTTGAGAAGCTATGTACATGAATATCATCAGAAATATAACGGACCTGGAAAATGCCCAGTGTAGTGGATATTGAACGTTCGTTGATTCGATCTTCGATTTCCTACTACGACTCGAAGAGAACAAGATGGCTTCAGTTCAGTATATTCTCGGACTCTGATCATTTGAAGCTCGAAGAGGAAAACGAAGTCACTGTTGGTACGAAAAAAAAGATCAAGTACATCACAATCAAGCCACATCATGATAAATACTTACATACTACTAATATCGTTAGTAAAGTATGTGCATCCCTGCAAATATTGGGATCCTTCAGCTTCAGGTGCGGCAGGCAGTTCTAGATCTGCTCCCGGGTTTTAACAATCTTTGTCAGGAATAAGAGGGACACCGTTGTTTCTACCAGCAGCAATTTCTGTAAAGTCAAACGGTTGTAAGGTAGTAATATTGCGCCATGTTCGATATAACGAGTACAATGCCTATTATATAAGATAGTTAGCCAATTCCTACTGCATTCTACAACGCCGACTTTTGCCACTTGGGTTCTGCGCCATCTGCAATGGCGAGATAAGGCATGAGATCGCTAGTCAAAAACTCGCTCGGCCACTCCTTTTTGATCTGTCCTTTGAGGTATTCTACAACAACCTTCAGGTTATCCTCCTTCACACGCGGGTAAAGCTTCTTAACGCCCGGTGCCATCTCGTCGATCAGCTTCTCAACGTACTCGGCCGTGATGTACTGTCCAGAATCGAGGCGTGAGCTATACTTGACCCACTGCCAAAGCTGAACACGAGTAATCTCGGCGGTGGCGGCATCCTCCATGAGATAGTTGAGGGGGATACATCCGTTTCCGTCGATCCAGGCGGCGGTATAGGACAAGGAGGTGGAAATGTTGGAACGAACGCCTTCGTCAGTGATTTTGCCAGGCACACAGGTGTTGAGGAGGTCGGCGGCAGCAACTTTGACGTCTTCACGTCGAATGTGGTACTAGAAAAGCACCATTAGTCGTCACCTCGAATGAACAGTATTCGGACAAACCTGGTTAGGACCAAGCATGTGTTCATCAAACACTTCCAGTGCGATCTTGTTGATGAGAGGGTGGGCAATCCAAGTACCGTCATGTCCAGCGAGAACTTCACGAAGCTTGTCTTGGCGAACTTTTTCCATCACAGCATCGTTGGCCTTGGGGTCGTCTTTGATAGGAATTTGAGCAGCCATGCCGCCCATAGCAGCAACTTTACGCCTGCGTGGTTTGTCAGAGACAGTACATCATGAAAAACAGTAATATATAGGCTTACCGGTGACAAGTCTGGATAAGAAGCCGGACGTAGGAGTCC